AAGACATAAAAACACTATTACTAGTAGTAGAAAAGATAAAATATAAAGCCATATAAACTAGAATCATTAAAGGAGAAGTTAAGGTATAATTAAATTTCCAGTATTTATTACTATTTTATTAGGTTTAATAACTTGTAGATTAGAATTCAAGGGAAATAATAACACTAAGCTATAGTATTATAACTATAGGATTTTATAAATAATAAGTCTAAATTATATTAAAAATTATGAGATATATGCTTATAATATATAGCATTTACTAATAGATAATAACGCCTTAAATAGTATAGAATTCAGAAATCTTTTATTATATAGATATCTATATAAGGTAATTACTTATATTTCTTATAATTTTTATGTATTTCTTATTATTAGTAGGCCTCTCTATTAGAGATATAGTGTATTAAAAAAAGCATGTTTATTATAAGTTATATAACTATTCTCTATTAATTACTATAAAAATCCTAATAAGTCTAGGATACTGAGATTAAGTGGGTATAATATAATACTAATAGTAAGTAAATTAAATACCTAAAGTTAAAAACTTTAAGTAAATATAAGCTCTTTCTGTTTTAGTTTTAGGAGATAATATTTAGCTATTTTAATATTTAAATAGTAAGACGCTGGTTTTCCTCCTATATATATATAATTATCCCATAATTTATAAGATCCAGTTATTTAACCGTCGTGGTATATAAGAGGCTATATTAAAAGTATTTTATAATTATAAGAAAAAGAGTAATAATTAACTTAGTAAGACCAGAATTCTCTTATACTATTCTTAGTATTTATATTTTTTTTTAAGGTTTTATTATTAACCCTTTCTGGTAGCGCCAAACCCTAGGTATGTAACCTAAATAAATATAGAGAATATTAATAAAAAGAGAAAAAAGCAGTAAAAATTAATAGGCTAGTAAAAAGCCTTATAATTTCAAACTATTAAGAATAATAGTAAGAATAATAACGAGGATAATAATAAGTATTAATTTTTATACTATTTTATTTATATTTATAGACTATATTTATGTAGAATTAAACCTTGTAATATCTAATATATTCTTTAAAGCTACTTATATTAAAGGGTCTTCATAAAATCCCATAAATACAGCTAAAAACTATAGTAAACTTATAAAAATAAGCTAGAAATAAAGCGAAAGATAGCTAAAGAATATTTTATAAAAATAAAAACAAATAAAATTTTATAAGAATAAAAGTGAAATTCATTAGAAATATTAAACATCTCTTATAAAAATTATAGTAAACTTGGTAGCTATATTTTTATTTCTAATTCTATTATTATAGTATTTTTAGTATTCTCTTTTCTTTTTTCTTTAGATTATATGTTATATGACCTTTACTCTCTTACTAGTACTTTAAGTCTAGAGCTTAGAATTAATAGTAAGATCTATATCTAAAGCTTAGAAATACTAAGAATATATGTTAAAGATTATATTCTTAGTTTTATATTTATAACAGGCTCTCTAAACCGCGGTAATCTTAGAATACTTAAAGTTTAATATTTAGTAAACACGAGTAGGTTAGCTGGGACTCTTGGAAAATATAATAAAAATCTAAAGAAAATATAAAGATATACTTAATCTATAGTCTAAATGCCGTGTGCTTCTTTTAATTATTCTTATATATTCTAAATATCTTTATTTAAAAGGTCGCTTAAGAGGCTAGCTAGTATTTTAGTAAAGAAATCTACTATTATTAATATAATAGCAGCTAAAGCTTGAGAATTATGATAAAAATAGGCTCTTATCTTATAAAGACTAACCTAAAGGTATTAGAACTTAGAATAAGCGGGTAATATGTACCAGTATTTAGACAAGAAAACTACATAATATACTAGGAATATATATTTTTTAAAGTAATATTTATATAAGATAGGTTTATAAACTTCTACGCTACTAGGCGCATCACTACTTTAAGATATTTTCTATTTAAAAATAGTAAAAGCCTATAGAATATAATAAGAGAGATAAGAAAAAAAGAAACTTACTACACCGTATATATAGCAGAAATGGTATTAAAAGACTAGTAATATTTTCTCTTTCATAATTCGCTTCTTACTTATTCTATTACTAAAAAACTAAAATCTAAAAGATGTTAAAGTTAGTAATATACCCCAAAGAGCTTAGAGAATATAGGTTTATGAAAGAGATAGTAGTAAAAGGCAGAATGCTATGCATAGAGCCAGGTTATCTAAAGCAGCATTATCTTAGAAAAATCAGAGAAGAATACGTACATAACTTAATCTTTAACGGAAGCTTATTACGGGGAAAAGTTAGCAAAAGCTTAGAATACATAAGAAATATTCTAGTAAGGTTTATTAATATATAAGACCTTTCTCTTTTATAGACTTAGGCATCTTCGCCTACTTCTCCCACTTCTTAGCGTATTCATTTACTAGGGCCTTTATCTTAATCACTAGCTGCTAGATTATAAGAATAATAAGATATCAGTAGGCACTTCTCAGGGATCATGAAGAGTTTATAAGGTTAATAAAGTAAGTGCGGTGGATGACTTGTGTAATACTTCTATTCTATATAGAAAGTAAGTAAGCGTATGTTCCACCGCGAAAGGCAGGAGACAAGCTCGTGTCTAACGAGATTTTGTAAAGGAAAAGCCGAATGCAGAGCTCAGACAGAGCTCAGACAAAGGTAAGAATGCTGGTAAGAGAATAGCCATACACAACCCTCAGAATCTCCGAGAAGCAAGGCTTAGAAGCTCGGAAGAGGCAAGGAATTGCCATTCCAAAGCCTTCGCCAGCACTTAAGGTGAGGGTGAAAGCTGGCTTCTTAAGCCCTAGATCCAAACTCCTGTATTCTCTAAGCTTGTAGTGTGGATAATGCGTGTAGCAGCAAGGTATTACGTACTCTTCTTGGGTGTCATTCAGCTCTTTATCATGACTAGGGCTCTTCTTGGATGTCTTCGGCGGGCTCGATGGCGCAGGATCGGGAGCTATGTCCTGCAGGTTCAAAGTCAACAAATCTCTCAAGAATAGCGGGAAAAGAACGTGGAAAACGAGCAAGAAGCTCAAAAAGGACGGAATAGAAGATATACAACGCTACTCTACTTGATGGAATTTTGGGTCAGGATAAGTGATGTAAGTGGGTAGAAAGGTCGTAGATTCCGAAGGAAGTGAGAGAGTTGGTGGGGTAAATGGTGGGGCCGTGCACGAGAGGGTAAGCGCGATGGGAGTGTTACTTTTCGGGGTAGAATGCCGGCTTCTTGATTAGCTAGAGTCAGGTTTTTCCTCTCCGGCGAAATTGAAAAGCTCAAAATAGTTTAGAATTTACAGAATAGGAAAAACACGCTAACCAACTTTCAAAATTCCTGGACAGAAGCCCGATTATAGATACAGAGCTCGTTCCTCGCTCTGAATAATCCAATGCGAATAGGTCAGGATGCGGCTATCGATCAAAGCGTTCCTTCTATATCGATTTACACAATGGTCGGATGTCAGTCTTCGATTCCAACTACGGGTATCTATCGACAATCCAGCGTATCTCGCTGCTGTACGAGGGGATTGGCTGACTTTAAGGAAGCTTCTGACAAGTATGTGAGAATAACAGATCAGACCGCAAATGGAAATACGCTCTTGCATGTAAGTAAAGGAGACACGTAGAAGAGCTGGCGGAAATGCTAATGTACGTAGATCGCGGCTTCAGAAAACCAGATGAACCTAGTGAAAGAGCTTCTTCGATATGGAGCTGACGTCAACGCCTCCAATGACCAAAGCGAGTACGTACGGATATTGTCGTTGTAACATATCTTATACTGCCATGCGCATGTAGGACGCCTTTACACATTGCTGTGGCTTGGATGTGTGACTACGACATCTCAAGGTGTCTCATCTCTTCCGGAGCTGATTTGCTCCACCAGGACCTAGGTAAAAAAACGCCACTCCATACCTATTTCAGTGCAAATCATCAGCAAATACTTGAACATAGACACAACTATAAGAGGTGCTGACGGCATGACCATCGCTCACTACGTGTCTTTTACCAAGCAGTCCAGCCGCGCAGACATGATCCGCTCCCTGGGTCCAGATCCTTCGGACATCCATACCACCGATCATGACGGACGAACGATACTGCATCTTGCAATTCGAAGAGGAAACTTTAAACTCATTGACTACTTGTTCGAGCAAAATACCGAAGCATTAGAGCAACCGGACCATGACGGTCGAACGTTGATGCATTACGCCACTGAGAGCCGCCGCAGCACTCAATTGATCGATCTCCTATACCGACGAGGTTTTAGCATTCGCGCAAAAGACAAGACAGGTCGTACTGTTTTACATCATGCAGCCTCTAAGGGCAACTTGACTGCTATAACCAAACTTCTCGAGTAGGAACAACGTTAGATCTCGAGGCTTTGGATTTTAAATCGCACACACCGATACAAGTTGCAGTTCTATACGAAGCGCATGGTAGATTACTTGCAGAATGGGTGCAGACCCCAGATTTTGGTGTTTCCAGGGGACCCAGGAAAGATGCTAAGGGTACTATGGCAGGCTCTGATGGGATGTCAATAAAGCTGAGCTTGAAGGGGTACTTGTGCTATTTGTTGTTCCTAATGGGACTCTCAATGTGTCTCTTCTATATTTTAACAAACTTGAAGTCTTAGGAATCGCACGGGTGGGGCAGGCAAACTGGGGGGTCGAATTTAGTCCAAGTTGGTTCACCTAACGGGGAGTGTGCTCGAAACATCACTCACACAATTGGCCATGCTAGTGCGCTTTAGGTTTAGCTGTACCTAGCAGGATAAAATAGGAAAAAATAAAAAAATAAAAAAATAAAAAAAAAATAAAAAAATAAAAAATTTAAGAAAAAAATTTAAAAAAAAAATTTAAAAATTTAAAAAAAAAAAAAAAGGAAAAAATAAAAAAAAAATTAAAAAATTTAAAAAAAAAAAAAAAAATCAAGTCGGTATCTCCGCTCCCTTTATTAGGTATTAGTAATTTGTTCTTGCGATGTGAAAGACATGTGTTACGTACCAGAATCGAACTAGGGACCTTTCGGTTACAAGGGATATTACAGCCGAACGTGATAAACCAACTACACCAAGCGGAGTAATGGCACTTGTTAGTGCCGCTTGTTTGTTTTGAATGACCGTGAATTAATAAATATATATAGATTTAATTGTGACAGATCGATATGATCATCGTCGACTGTGCGATTTCGCTAATGCTAGCGTGTTCGCAAAAAAAGTCATTGGTCCATGACTAAGCACTGACGCCGTAATTGTTTACCGTCCGTGCGTCCACCAATTAATGTTCCACTCCACCTGCGCGTCACCTGGCGACGAACCGATCATGGCGCCGCCATACTTTATTCTCAACCTCAAACTACCCGATCCTCAAGAGGCTGGACTTGATGTTGAACCGCAACAATTCGCGTAGTTTTCACGCCCAGCCTTGGATTAGCTAGGTGCGCGAGATATGAGAGGTCAGTCACAAATGGCCCAACTGTTCATTGGGGTAGATATACTAATGGTATAGCAGAAAATCCAAAACCTATCACAAATTTGGATACAGCGTTCTTGGAATTCGTATCGTTGGAAGCTAAGAGCTGGGAAGAAAGTAGTTATATGCAACCCAACCCTAAGTACTTGGTGAAGCCTTCCGGCTCGCTTGAGTCGCAGATCATTCACCATCTCCATCAGCCATCCATGTCTTCCGCAAGACTAGAGGATGGAGAAGTTGCTGACCCTTCTAACGCCTGCGTTGCTATGGTCATGAATAACGGTTTCGTCGAAGGGCACACTCTAATTTACGATCACTTGCATCGGAGGCACCAGACTTCAGAGGGCTTAGAAGATTACCCTCAAGCCGTCTTACTCGCTCATGAGACGTTCACACATCGTATAGAGGATTCCTCAGAAGCCAAGGTTGAGGTAGTGTATGGCGCTAAAGTACAGAAACGGCTTTTGCGACGCCCAGATGCACGATATACCATCCTCCCACTTTGGGGAGATTTCAAAGGAATTCTCTTGTTCCTAGCATACGAGAGCAACTATGGGAATGCTAATCTTCGGTATACTTTCCGGCGAGCCATCCTCTTCGCAGTCCACCCACAGAGAATATTTTACACCCCACGTGGCGCGCCAGAAGCAATTCACCAGGACCGTATCGTTGCCGCTGCGATTCGTATGGCCGGGGAAGACACTCCTATAATGGAAGATTATCACCAAAATCGGCGGTTCAGCACCTTTACTTCAAGTACCTCCTTCTTGGCCGACACAATCTTTTGCAGTCCTCTATCAAACATATCCGATCGTCGATTACAAGACCTTACGTGTACAGCAGAGCTATCAGCCAAGGGATCAGTCGAAGGTGCTGACTGGTATGGTCTCTTCAACCCAAAACCACACAGCTATCAGACTATGCTTCAATTCCTTCCAAAGGCTCTTCAAAGTTTTGAGGGCAACGTGGAAGAATGGAATTACCCCTCCGAATTTCCGGAACCTATCCTGCAGTGGTTCAAAGGGCAAAGACACATCCTGTTCCACGATTGCTCGAGCCTAGATTCAACAGATATACTATCTGTGTACCATCGCCTATGCCCATCAAGTATTTCTGATGAACGTAAATCTCCTTCGCTTCGGGACATGGTATATGGCATTATTAAAGCCCAGCACGACTTCCCCCCACCTCCGGATCGGCATTTACGGAATCACCAACACCTTTGGTACGTTCAGTATGGATTACAAGACATTGAAACATGCTGTGCGGTATGCGGAGTGATTTGCCGCAAAGATGATTGGCCAAAGTGGTCTGTAAATCGTCCGGGAGTGTACTGTGCACGCTACCTCATGTGCGTATCACATCAGTGTGAACGGAAATGTCGCAAGATGAGACCTGCTGATGCAGCTGTCATCTGGATAAAAGGCGAACCTAAAGCTCTTCAAGTGGAAGAGAACGAGCACGCTTCCTGGCAGAGGTGTATACGACCAGCCGAAAACAATCAGGATAAAACGCCAACGGCGGTCCTTTCATGGTGCATCAAATGCCAAGAAAACACACGACTCTCCGGAGGTCGCACTGTTTTCGAAGATAATGTGCCTAGGTGGACCTTAGGTAAAGCACGTCCCCTTTACCTTGAACGCTGTCCGGACTGCTTAAGCTGCAAAACTCGTGGGAGCAGATTCGTTCCTGTTGATGAGCGCATTCCGTCCGTCTATTACCAATCTCTGTCGACTTTCATTGAACGTTTTGGGAATTACGATGACGAGATTCTAGCTATACTACTTGATCAATGGCCGGCGTCTTCTAAAGCTTCCCGTAAGAAAGAACTGCCAGAACGACGGCTAGGACGGGATTGAAGTATATGTGACCGCGAGTGGTACCGGCGAAGATCCTCCAGCGGAGATGACGGAGAGTCGGAGATATGGTGACCCACCATGAGCTCAAAACTTTGCTAGAATCCGATAGTGCCTCAATGAAAACCCTTGCCTTTATATCTGCGATCTTTCTTCCGAGTAGTTTCATCGCGGGAGTTTTCAGTATGAGCATGTTCGACTAGCAACCCAGGAGTACCACTGGGAAGTAGTAGCGGCGGAGGTGCTGTAACGATATCGGACAGGTTCTGAGCCTCCTAGGTTGTTGCTATACCACTCAATTGGTCACGCTCTTAGATTGACGCTTCTGGTGGTGAGTTGGAATGAAAAGGGTTCAAGCAGAATTTCAAGGCTGTGATGAGCGACCCAAAGTAATAGACCATTTGACTTGGAAAGGACAAGACGGATTTGGGGAGCAAACACTCTTAGCGTCTGCGGGCAAAAATTATCAAGAGAGAGCTAATTTCCAAGGCTTCGATAGAGGGTTGAAGGGCACTGATAGGTGTATCAATATGCACCCGGCCTAGATATATAGCCTAGACGTATATAGCCCAAGCCTTTGAAGGGCGTAGAACCCAGCAGTTCTATTAAGAGGAAATTGTCCTCAATAACTGATACCAGGACGACTGACATACGGACTCTTACGCCTCATTTCTTTGGAAGCACTGTGCAGCACAAGGCTGAGTTTCCAGCACTTTCAGCCCATTTCGATAAGCCTGCGGAATCTCACCTTGGGCTCGGTACTCAGTCTTCCTAGCTTTATTCACAAATTCGGAAGACTCTCTAATACAAAGGTTGGTTCTAATCCGCAATACAATATCCTACGTTCTAGCTCGCCTTCCCTTGCCTAATCTCTCAACGACGATGCTAAGAGCCTCGAGCTTCATTTCATCTGTCACAACACGACCATCGACAACAATTTTCTCATCTAGCATGCTCATGCTAATATGTTTCCAATCCAGTTCCCTGTATTGCTGTGAATCGTTCATGATGACGGCCACTTGAACTCCGTCACAAGCATCATAGGGCGTACGATGAAAGGTAATGTCAAGTTTCGAATCGATCTTGCCTTCCATAAGATCGCTTATGATATTCTTTTGCGGTACAAGCTGATCATGTAACTCGATAGACCGTCCCTCCTTGAGCAGCGTCAAGATTACACCCTTCGCGAGGCTGTCCCTTGCATCCCCAGTATCTCTTTTGTAAGCGTAGCCGAGTACAGCGACCTTCTTGACTGAAGACCGGCGAGCGAGATCGCGGACCCTCTCCGCGAACCTCGACGTCTGGAAGTCGTTAATCACAAAAACCTGGCGCCAGTACTCGGCTACTTGTGTCAGCACATGATCATTTGCTAATCCCACGAGACCGAGCGTGTCTTTTCTCAAACAGCTTCCTCCAAACCCTAAGCCTGCATGGAGGCCCTCTGCTCCGATCCGTGGATTTAGCCCACAGACTCTCGTAATTGCTGATGCATCTGCGCCGAAGTGTTCGCATAGGACGCTTAGAGAGTTGACGCTGCTGATGTGTTGGGCAAAGAGCGCATTACTAGCGATCTTAGTCAGTTCGGCTGATGCTGTCGACATGATAAGGGTGCGATCTTCTGGGACCTAGCACTCGTACAGCGAGGGCAAGGGGGACGTGAAATCGTCAAATGGAGAGTCGGACCCAATGACAAGACTGTGAGGATTAAGTAGATTGTCAAGAGCGGAGCCTTGTGCTACAAAGGGTGCGGCGCGTTGCATAACGTTTTTACGAGCTATACGAGCTTGTTCTTGGCAACCTCATCAAAATGGGCTCACATCAAAAACAACCAAAAATCATCGAAAATAGGCGCAAATAATCAGGATTTTGTGGCTCATTCTATGCGCGGAAATTGTTATTGCCTTGGTGTTCAATGCAGAGCTTTACCACCCGTACAAAGTAGTCAGGGTGGAGATGTTTGGCCATGTACGACTCCATTGTAGGATCTTTCTGCCAAACTGACTCCACCCACCTCTCTGCCTTTTTCTTTGCCATTTGTGAAGAAGACGTTACAGTGTAGCTATTAATAAATCCTTCCAACCTGCCAAAACAGCGCTCAATTGGGTGTAAATCTGGTGACCAGGGCGGGTGAGGAGCAAACTCAATTTCCTTCTCATGAATTGTATGGCGGAGGTAACGGCGAGCAGCCTGGTGGAGATGAACGTTATCCTCTGTAAGGTAGATCTATGATCCTTGATTCTCTTCCCTGATCGCCTCATAGTACGGAAATACATGTTTCTTTAATATATTTTCAGCGTACCAGATCGCGTTCATACCTTTGCCTTCAGTGTACGTAAAAATCTCGTGCTTAAAGACCTGCTTTGGCGATTTCCTATTATGTAGACCCTTCCTGCCGCAGCCTGGGTGTTTACGACGATATTCGGCGTTCTTAGCTTTAATTTTGTTGTTGATCTCCTCCAATTGTTTGTACTCAGGCGTGCCAGGAATAAGAGCCTGTTTTTGCTGCCACTCACAGTGTAACCGGTCTTCTTCGTTGGCGGCTATAACCTTAGTTTTCAAGCGATCTTTCTCATCCTTAGATGCAGCTACCTAGGTAATACAGGGCCTTTCGTACGAGCAGGTAACATAGGAGGATGCAGCGGCGCAAATCATAAGAGAGAACCGAGGAGAATCAATATATACAGCAAAGTTGTTCAAATCAACATTACGACCTCGAGGCGCGGAGATCTTCTGCTTGCCTCCACAGTTATT